CATTATGTCGGGCGTGTCTCCCTTACAGGGGGATGTTCGACGAAAAATCAAACATACACCAAGAATACCCCAAAAAGGCAACACAAATACTCAAATAATCATCCCTGCACTATTTTTGGACTATGCTTTGATTATGTGTGGGGCATGTTTTAGTTGTTCGTCGACAACCCCCCCGTAGGGGGACAGGCCCGACTTAGGACTAGCAGGCAGGGGGTTCGGAGCAGAAAACCAATGGCAGTGACAGACGGGCTGGTCGGGCGGGGCGGGTCGGGCAGGCGGGCCCCGACGGCGGGCCCGAGCGGCGGATCGCTGAAGCGTCAGGCCTGCAGGAGCCGCGAAGGAGTCTCGGACGATCGCGCGATGTCCAAGAGTGTCGTGAGACAGCTCGCAGCGAGGACGTGACTTCGGCGGGGTCGTTGGGCGCGGCGGTTCAACAAAATCGCTAGGAAAGACCACGCGAGAGCGCGATTTCCTGGACACATTGTCAGGAAGTCCCGCGCGAGAGCGCGCTTTGGAGTACACTGTGCGGAAGGAACAAGCGGGAGCCGTTGTTTTTGTAAGTCAGTGGGCCAAGAGCGCCTAGTCTGACGCCCAAGACTTTCCCATTTTGTTATATATATATATATATATATATATAGGTATATACCTGTATATACAATAAACTATAAGCAACATAAAAAAAGCCGAGCCCCGGGAGGAACACTTTCATTGAAAAACAACAGGTGCACCGAGCAGTGGAGATGAACATCAATGACTCTTTAGACGTGAGAGTTCAATCATGTTGCCCTCACGCGCAATGCTTCCACATGACCACATCTACCCATCATGATGCCACGCCATATCAAGGGAAATCTATGACAAAGGGACCAACATGCCTACACCCGGATCTCCGGAGAGCGGTGAGGATTCGAAACACGAAGGCTTCGAGCCCCATGGGAAGGGCAATATATAGGAATCCTCATATATCTAATACGGCACAAGGATTCGAGCCCAAGTTGAGGGGCAAACTAGGAACATGAATCAAACACAAATGAGATTCGAGCCCCAGTCGAGGGGCAACATCTGGTAGCGATATGTAGGAACATGCAAAAAAGCGCAGATGATTGGAGCCCCAATTCGCGCGCGCGTGGCGGCCCCTGGGAATCCCTGGACGAAAACTACTCCTGTCGGCTCCCCGCAGGGTCGGGCTAGGGATGCCAGAACTCATGGGCGCGGCCCTGGGGGTCTCCAGAGGGGCCCAGGAGCACCCCAGGGAGCGCCAAATAGTTGCCAAGCCCCATGGCCTCAGGCCAAAAGCGTTCCAAGATGGCCCAAGTTGGTCTCAAGACGGCCCCAGAGACGCTCATTGATCTCTCTTGGTTTTAGAAAAAATAGCGTTACCACCTTTTCACTCTTCCGACCTCCCAAGACGGCCCAAGAGGCCTCCAAGATCGCCCCAAGTCAGCCTAAGAAGCTCCCAGGACGGCCCCGAGACGGCCCTAGAAGGCCCAAGAGGCCTCCCCAGAGGTCAGACGGTCAGAGGCCTCTTGGAAGTCCGCTTGGAATTCGTGGGAAGATTCCTCGGGGCCTCTTGAAGGCAGTTTTGGAGGCCTCCGGGGGGCCGTTTGGGGTGTTCGTGGGGCGTGTGTTTGGAACCCTTTGGGGCCTCGTGGGGCCTTCAGGTGGCCTCTTGTACTCTGTTGGGGGCCTGGTTCGAATTGTCGGTTCGTGTTCCCCCTCTTGGGGCCGTCTTGGGCCCTCTTGGGCGATCTTGGGCGTCTGTTGGGCCGTCTTGGGGCACTTTTGGGCCGCCTTCTGACTCTCTTGCGCCGTCGTGGCGCACTCTTTGGGTGCCTATTGGCCCCCGTCTTGAACTGATTTCTGGGGCCTCGTGGGCTTGGCCCTGCTGCTGATCCTGCTGTTACCCGTTTTCCGATTACTCCTGATTAATCTCGTGTTCGTATGTGCTCCCGCTCCCTTTCCTCGCGGTGCAGCAGCGGCCCCACGCGGGGCGCTCTACCAAACAACACCCAACTCATGTTGTACGTGTTGCTGCGCCGCATGGATGTGTTCGCGTCGACGTTACAAACTGCGCGTGGGGAATACGACGCTGCACACATCACGCGCGAGTGGGCGCCTTCTCGCCCTGGCCCCGCGCGCCAAGCAGACCTATCCGGAACGTGACGCGCCCGCTCGGGCGCGGCGCACATCTTCCGCTCGCCCATGTGGCAGCCACTGGATCGGGGGGTGCGAAGCAAAGCGGCACCCACCCCTCTCACGGACCTGCGCCCCCCACCCCCCGCCCACCCACCCCGCGCGCACAACAGCAAGCGAAACCCAACTCCGATGTCCCATTCGTTGGGCGTTCCGCTTCGCATTGGCCTCACCCAAAATCCCTCACGTTCCAGAGGTGAAATAAAGGTATGACGAGCGCGCGAATTTCATAATCAGGCTCTCGCCTCCAAGACGCGCATACTCTGAAGAGAAGCAGCCAGCTGCAACAACGATGGAAGGCGTGTCGCTCTCAAAGTGTCGCCTCGCCTTAGCACCGTGCACATTCGTCTTAGAATCGTATGGTCGTATGGCACTTCCACTGGTGCAGGGCGGTACAGTTTTTAACCGAAACTCTCGCTTTGGTGCCGCGCCCGTTCATCTTCGAATCTGCCAAAATTGACACGGGCGGACCGCGGGGCGTTTAAAAGCCTGGTTTGCGCCTTAGGCATTAGCACCGCACGCATGCGCCTTGACAACACTTGCGCGGATGGAGGGCGCTGCCTTTCCCACTCGTGGCCTCCCTCGCCCCAGCGACGCGCATACTCATCCTGAAAAGCTCCCCGCCGATAGTTCCACCGATGGGAAGCTGCACCTCTGTCTGCTTGCTGAGGCGAGGCTCCCCGGAGAATGGGACGAGTGAACACATGCCACCATCAATGCTTGGACGCCCGGAAAGGGTACTGAAGAAATGGGTGCAATGCCCAACAACAAATGTTGTCCCAAACCAACAGCGGCCGCTGTTGGACAGGCGGCCGTTTGTATCAAATGGACACAGGCCGAGGCGGCGCGGACAGCGACCCCTGTTCAAAATCAAAAGGAACTGCTGTTGGGCATTGTACCCATTTTTCTATACGTATTACGTTCGTGCTGAGATGTGTGCACTCCCCTCCTGCGGGGAAGAGAGACGACACCGATATATAATCACCGCTGCTCCCCGGACGTCCTCCCAGGTCGTGCTCGGACCAGGGACTTCGAGGAGACTCCGGCCGCGGTGCCGAAGAACGGGCAGCGGCATCGGCACCTCCTCTTAGGATGTTCCAGCATACGTTAGCCTTGATCGCCAGAAAGACTTTCGACCACCGAGAGAGCACCCACACTGGAGGGTGTCCACGTGTGGGACCTTTGGGGGCGATGCTCTTTCGGCGCTGTTTCGACACCTTTCTGGGTGCTCGAGGTCATTTCTGGGATGTGGCCCGTAAGTGCGATGGGAACAACATAAACCTCCTCCTCCTCCTCCTCCTCCTCCTCCTCCTCCTCTGGCCCTCCTCCTCCTCCTCCTCCTCCTCCTCCTCTGGCCCTGCCCCGCCCCTCTTCCCCCTCCTCCCCTGTCTGCGCGGCGCACCTGTGCAGCACGGTCGGGGCTCCCCCGCCGCCCGGCCCGGGGTCGGCGGTTCCAAGATGGGGCCCTGAAGGACGAGGAGCCTCAAACATGCGCAAATCCAGCCTTGGATCCCCTCCCCTCCTATCCTTTAGGACCCTATCCCTCAGGACCCCAGGATTGAATCACCGAGGAGAGGACGAGGAGACTCAAGAATTCGTAAATCTACCATTGGAACGGTGCACGCTGAGATGCGCACGTGCGTTGCAACGCCAAAGCGCACGATAGGGGGTAAGGAGGAAAAGGAGGAGGAGGAGGAGGAGTAGGAGGAGGAGGAGGAGGAGGAGGAGGCGGAGGAGGTGGAGGAGGAGGAGGAGGAGGTGGAGGAGGAGTCCTCAGGACCCCCTCGTTGAACCACCGACAGAGGGGGGGGGGGGGCCAAAGGGGGGGGGGGCCTCCAAGCGCGCCGGCGGCCGCTGGCGGCAGGGCCCACGCCTGCGCCTGGCGACGGCGGCGGGCAGGGGGGATGAGGATTGTTTTTTGAGTTGGGGAAAGAGCGTGTCAACCACCTGACAAGAGCTCTTTATTTTTTATTTATTTATTTATTTATTTATTTATTTATTTATTATATATATATATACATAAATAAACACATAACGCGTGTTGTGCGGCTGGGTGGGTGGGTGGGTCCGCTGGCACATAACATAACACGTTGCGCGCACTCCGGACAGTACACCTGCGCGCCGAGCAGCAGGCGCTGCTGCAACGGGGGTGGGTGAAGTGGAGGGCGTTATGCAATTTACTGGGTGGGTGGGTAGGTGGGTAAGAGGGCACATTACGCGCTTTCTGTGCTCGAGTAAAAAAAGACGTCAGCTCCAACTAGCTTCCATGTCAGCTTGAAGAGCGCGGGGAACAAGAATCAGAACATGCACGACCTCTTGAACCCCGCGCGGCAACGCGCGTAACCATGGACGTCCACGCTGCACGTCTGACTCAGCATGGTCATCTCGATGCCGCCACCTCCGAAACCACCGCGCATACGATCATCGTACGCTTCGACTGTCTCGCCGAACTCATACTTGATCTAATCCTGGATGGCCGCGCCCGCGATGGTCACCGTCGGGTTCCTCACGATGTAGCTGCAGATGTCGCGGGGCAGCGCCTCCGCAGATGGCCTGCCAGGCAGGCCGAAGCTCAACGAGTGGAACAGGCATGAACCATCACCAGGTTGAGGGTACACCCTCGCCTCGGCTCCAGTCGTGGTATGCCCTCGCTGGACATCTCATGCAAGTAAGCCTGCGGGAAGCTCCCTGTGGACTCCGAAATCCCGTCGACGGGCGCGCGCCATCGCTGAAGAGAGCTGAAGGCTCAAGGCTTGGGCCAAAAGCGGCTCTGGTGGGGCATGGGGCCCTGGGGGGGCATGGGGCATGGGCCTCTGGGGCTCTGGGGTGGGGGGGGAGCAGGACGAGGGGGGGGCATGGGGCTCTGGGGGGAGCAGGAGAAGGAGGGCGGGAGAGGGGGTGGGAGACGAGAGGCGCGAGGGGGGAAAGGAGGCCGATTGGGAGGAGGGCGTGGGGAGACTGGAAGGGAGACAGAGCAGTGGCCGGGTGCGCTCGCGCCACGCCTGAGGTCCGGCCCCTTCCCTCGGTGGCTCAAAGATGGGGTCCTGAGGGATGGGGTCCTGCGGACGAGGTTCCTGAAACACCGTGAGCTCACCCTCGGATCCCTTCCTATCCTCAGGACCCTATCCCTCAGGACCCCCTCTTTGAACCGCCGACTCCCGCCATTCGAATGTCTCTGGAAGACTGGCCCGCGCTTGGGCGAGATCTCCACTCTGACCGGGAGGGGGGCCATGCACCGATCATGAACTGCGGTCAAACCTGCATTGGGGACACCATCTTGAAGGTCGAATTGAGGAAGCTCGCGTCGTTCACCACGCCGTATAACAAAACCGATTGGGACAATTACACTGCGCGGCAGAGGCGGCGGCAACGCTGGACATAATCCGAGGAGAAGGGGTGAAGGTATTCAGATTGCCGGCATGACTACTGCCGATCTCCTCTACAAGCCCTCAAGATGAGATGGAGCACCTTGTTGACCAAAACGAACAAGAGGAGGGAAGGGACATGTGGTGTGTGAAGGGGAGGTGAACGACGGGACGAGGGAGCAGTCACGTATGAGGGGATGGCGCCAGGACAAAGAGGATGACGAGCAGGGGGAGGATACGGCAAGATGGGGAGAAGGATGACGCGGGTGAGGCAGGGGGGAGGAGAAGGAAAGAAGGGGAGGAGGGGGGAGCCGGGGGGGGGGGGGAGCAGAGGATGAGAAGAAGGGATTTCTTGGGGAAGGAGGACGAAGGACGATAACGGGGAACGACGATGCAGGCGACGAGGTGGATGAGGGCGATGACGAGCCAGGAAGAGGAATGCAGAGGAGGGCAACGATCTCGAAAGGCAGAAGGGGCGCTCGCCTGGCGGTTCAGCCGGGACCTCCTCACCTCATTGCCGCGCGAAGGGTGGTGGGGAGAGGCAGGACGGAGGGAGGAGGAACTCCACGGGCACCCGGCCCATGCGGCAGTCAAGTCCCGCACCGAACACCCATCCTGCCCGCACTGCGCTCGCCCGGCACTGCAGCTGGCAGCCAGACGTGCAGCGAACGGGCTTGCCTGGCCTCGGCAAGCCTCGGCCAAGACTCCAGTCAAACCTACACATGAGGATGCGCGGTGCGTACGGATGCCAGGGCCCTGGAAGGCCATGTGGAAGTTGTTCGAACGGGGTCGGCCAACGAAAGTTGTCATCAAGGATGGGGCGAAGGGGCAAGGATGCAAGGGCAACCTTGGAAACACGCTCATGCTCATTACGCGCTTTGACTGTACGTTCCCCGACCTGGGTCTAGGTACAAGGACGGGCCCAAGAACCAGAGCCCATCAAGAGCCCAAGGCTGTCCTAATGTCTGCGTCTTGACTGTATAATCTCGCGGCCCGAGAGGCGCGAGTCACGGAAAAGCCTTCGAGCTCTTCTTACACCGCCGTACCGGCTCGGCTGTTCGGGAGCAATGCCGAACAGTGCGCGGCTGTCTTCGCGCCCCCCATGCGGAAGACCACCCAGTCCCAACGACGGGGAGCGGAGAGGGGGACTCGAGATCAGAGTGAGGGGGCCGAACGGTCATTCACTGTCCCTGGGCGCGTGGCTGAAGTGGGTTTCCGCGGTGGGGATTGTTGTTGAGTTGCTGTTGCGTTGTTGTCGTCGTCCTCGGCCGAGACCCGCCCGCGACCCACCCGCGACCCACCCCGCGAGCCAACTCCCGACCCACCTCACGACCCACCCCGCGATCGCCGCGACCCACCAGTGACCCACCCGCGACCCATCCCGCGCCCGCCCCCCTCATCCTTATCAGAAACTGCGGGGTGCTATAATACAATCGATCGCGTTCAGCGAAATTCAACTAAAACAATGGGCTGACTGAGAAAGCATCACGGGTGGATCAGTCTAGCAATGGCTAGAGCCAAGGGATCAAAGACACTTCAGCATGCACACTGCCTGTGCCGTGACTTCGAGACGGAGGAGGAAGACAGGGAGATCGTGAGTATGCAGATAGGGAGGTAGGGCAGGTAATGAAAGGCCTCAGCTTCCGCCTCTGAGGCTGCAGACGGCGAAGTGCAAAGGCAAAACTAATCACCGTGTTGCTGGCTCTTTTAGGACACCAAGACAAATGCCGAAAAGGCGACGGTTTCCGCCATCACTTCTGCCTTCTTCTCGGAGAAATTCCGAGCCGGACTCCCGAGAAGGCTCAGAAGGCCCCAAACACATCCGAATGTCCACAGGAAGCGTTCAAGAAGCGCCCCAGAAAAGTCTCAGAGGCCCATCCGACGTCTCAGAAAGCCCTCGAGATGCCCCCAAGACATCCATGACGGGGCTCCCAGAGACTCCTATGATGGTTTAAGAGGTTCCTGAGAAGCCAGGAGGTGCCTCCAAGAGGCCGCCAGAAAACGCTCTCCAGGGACAGCCTGAAAGGAACACAAATCCCCGTAATAATCCAAAAGAGCCCACAATAGCCGCGAAGACGGCAGCTGAGGGACCCGAAGGGCTTCCTAAGATGAGACCCCAGCGGCCCCTGAAAGAGCTCAGGACGAGCCCGCGCCACAAGGGAAAAACGAAGAAGGCCGCACAAAGAGGTCCCAAGCGCAAGACGTCTGGAAAAGGGGCCCCGCGAGGTCGGCGGGCACCTCTCAGTTCTGGTGCCATTACTCTCTGGTAACGGAGTGAGCTCTTTTGCCCGATCGATCCGCCGCTGCTCTCCCCGCTCGTCCTGCCACTGCTCGCCAATGGCGGACCACATCACACGACACACAACAATACGGCGTCACACTGGAAAGTGTCGTAACGAGCGGGACCGCAAAATAACCGACCAAACCGGGCAAGACCACACACGAACAGGCCCAACCGAAAAAGGGGAATACCAGACACATCAAACCAGACGAGTCTGCACCACCGGCGTGTGCGGAAGTCTGCCCGCCGCGGGCTGCGGACATTTAGGTGGCATAGGTGAGCTCACCAGCGCAAAGAAGGGGCGCACGATATAACAAATGTGTGTGTGTGTGTGTGGGATAAGGGGGAATGTGAAAGCAGAGGCAAAAATACCACATGGTGATGGTAACGCCCTCGATGGCGATGGAGGCACGTGAGAACGAGCGCCCGGAGGGTGTGAATAAGAAACGAAGAACCTGCATTAAGAGCCGCACTGTTTCGCATTACCAACTTTGCGCACCCAGAGTCTGCGATCCTGTGTGGCAAGGTCACACGTCGACGAATATCAACAACACCGAATCGGCACGCATGACAATACGCCAAAAACTAAGCGGATCCCACCGCGAGCGAACGGACGACACCCGACCACTCCAGTCTTGATTGAACGTGAACCTACGCAACATGTACGCGATACACTGGCCAGTTGGGCTAATGATGGCACGCGAAGCGTTTAGCCTTGTAGCTCGTTGCGGAAAATACGAAATTCACGACAAGTGATTTGGCAGGGGAGTTGAGGCATCGGGGACAGCGTTGTGGGCGTGCCCTCATCATCATCAGCATCATCATCAGCAGCAGCATCGGCCTCATCCTCAGCATCACCTTATCAGCATCATCATCATCATCAAACTCAGCATCATCACATTACCATCATTATAATGTTCATCCCCATCACCACCGTCATCATCATACTCACCATAACCATGACCATCATCATCACCCTCAGGCGTTGCCATCATCGACATGATCACAATCAGCATCATCCTCATCATCATGATTATCAACATCATCAGAATCACAACCATCACCATCCTCCGCGTTCTCCTCATGGTCATTTTCATCCTGAACACCAGCATCATCACAACCACCATCAACACCACAATCGTCGTCACCACCATCATCAGCATCACCATCAACATCATCGTCGTCGTCACCATCGCCCTCCTCGTCATCATCATCATCATCATCATCAATATCCTCAGACGCATCCTTATGATCATCTTCAGCGCAAGTACCATCGTCATCACATCATCATCCTCGCCATCGGCATCATCACCAACATCGTCATCACAACCACCATCACCTCAACAACCGTCGGCACAACCACCATTACCCACATCAGCAGCATCATCATCACCATCAGCATCACAATCATCATCATCATCATGATCATGATGATGATCATCATCATCGTCATCCTCATCATCATCATCATCATCAGCATCATCATCATCATCATCATCATCATCATCATCATCATTGTCATCATCATCGTCATCAGCATTGTCATTACCATCATCATCACAATCATCATCACCATCATCATCAACAACATAACCATCACCATCACCATCACCATCACCATCACCAACATCATCATCATCATCAGCATCGTCATCAGCATCATCATCATCATCATCATCATCATCATCATCATCATCATCATCATCATCATCATCATCATCATCATCGGTATCTGCGCCCTCTGCGTCCACATCCTCCTACTCACCCCGATTCCCCTTCTCCACCTCCCACCACCCTCTCCTTCCATTGCTCCAGGAGAGCCCAAAATCGAATCGATGAATCGCCTCGGCGATCGAAATGAATCGGATCGCCGGAAATCGGTAGCCGAGTCGAAAAACATTGAATCGGCAGAAATCGGCAGGCTAATATGCCTCCAATGGAAAGCCAAATCGAATCGAGTGGGAATCGGAAACCATCGAAATCGACTCGAATCGAATCCGAGGAACTGAAACGAGCCCTGCTGCTCCCGTTCCTCCCCGCTCTCCGCCCCCCTCACACCGCTCCTGCTGCCGCAGCTGTTCCCCGCCCTCTTCCTCCTGCGTTCCCCCCTCCTGAACGATTTGCCGCAATTGACTGGCGTTCAGTCAGGCGTGTCCCCCTA